GAGCTGGCCGCTTCGGAACCCACCCGAGCCTCCGAGCCGCTGAGCGGGTATGTTAACAGTGCGTTAACGCGCCCATGAGCGGGTGTGTGAACGGAGGGGGAACTGGGATCAGACGTTGATAGATGTTCATAGTGTTAACGTTAGGTGGAATTCAGTGTGCGAGGCGCTGAGTCTTTTTCTTTAGACACGACGTGCAACTAGAAAGAAAGACAGTGTTTGACCTTTCAAGCTGTGTGGACACATGTTGGGAGAAAAAATCATTGTTGGATGTTGAATCATAAACTGTTCAAGGTGTGAGACACATGTTGGGCAAAACATGGCCAGAATTATTTATTTGGATCTTGACCCACGCAAAACTATTCAAGGTGTGGGAAAATATGGGAAAACATGTTGGGCAAGCGGCAAAGTGATTTATTTGTTGGATCTTGAATAATGCAGGGTCCCTCCCCCCACAGCAAGCAACTGAGGGAGAGTGAAATAGAATCACCCCCACCTTGACTATTTGGGATTGAACAAAACATTGGTGATCTCCAGTGATGTCAAGATTAGAGTTAGAGGTCATTGATCACGGGGTCACATCAGATCATGATAGTTAATGGTGGTAACCATGATGTCACCGATCAGGTGTCAACACTCAGAGGTAACCATGATGGTTAGAGTTATATTTATATATATATATATATATATCGAGTCACCAGCATGTTACGGATCACACCGACCACATCATCCAGTCATCCATGTCATCCTTGTCAAAGTCTCACTGCAAACAACTGAGGTAGAGTGAATAGAGTCCACCTTGACGACATTTGGCAAGATTTGTTTCTACTGATGTCACCGATCATGTCAAAGTCTCACTGCAAAGGAATGCCCCTCACCACACCACCCACTCACCTCACTGAGAAGCGCGCCTCGTGGGATCCCCGGATCGTTCGGTCCCGAGGCCTCCGCCGCGTGTACCGCCGCGGTCCCGGCCGCTGCGGCACCCGCGACCGAAGAGGTCGGGAGGGAGAGGGGTTTGGTTTTGGAGCTTTGGTTAAAAAGGCAATCGAAACAGATGATTCCAGGAATATGTTCAGGTCCTATATTTGGGTTTGTTGCTAATTAGTTGAATTGAGAAGAGTTTACTGTGCAAGCGATGTTCTTTTTAAACAACTTCTTTCTGCGTGAGTTGTGTTGATGAAGCGGGCCCTTGGTTTGCGATGTCATTGGATGAATCATGTGGAGTCATCCTTTGGGTTGTCCCGGCACTCATCAGGTCTGCCCGGGAAGGAGCCCATGCAAGGTGCTAGCCTGGCGAAACGCGACCCAATCGCGCTGAACAACGCAGAACAAAAGATGTTTCGAATTGGGTTTTATTATACTATGCGATTCTATACGAATGTTCCTGTTATTTTTTCCAAACACCATTATCGCGTTCTTGTTTTCGCGCCATTTCCTCTCTTCTTTGGCGTTTGTTATTCTTAAGTTTTGTCTTTAGGGTTTGTTTATTCCTTTGTTTTTGGGTGTTGATCCCTTCACTTACACGTCATCCCCTGCCGATGCCTCACCGTTTGGGGTCGCGAAAGCGCGTGCCTTCACGTGCCTTCGCCGTGATGGGGCGTGCGCCCGTGCGTCCGTGAGGATCGATCGGAAGTTGGATGAGAGCGACAAGAGAGCTTTGAGGCCTTGAGCGAGTCGAGTAGGTCTTCAGTAAGTCTCTCTCTCTTCAGTGAGATGCAAAGCTACACTGCAAACGGGAGGGGGTGGTATTTGAGATGTAGTGATAAAGCACCTGTTTGGTATTCAAAATATGGTCTTGTCATGGTCATGCCATCCGCTTGTGTGTTAGTGAATCAGAGTCTACACTGCATGGGAGGTAAGTCATTTTGTATTGACCATGTTCGAGCAGACTTGGGTGATGACTTTGCTTCAAAGCCCTCCACCGGCCATTCTGACGATGCCAAGGTGACTTGTAACAATAGGGACTGGTCGCAGAAAAGCTGGTTCATTCAAAGCCACCAAGTGAACAGGTTCATCTTCCCCCTGCATCGGCCCCAGGAAGATCTTCTCGCACAAGCCGGTGCATGAGGCATCACAACGACAAGTCCTTGTGACGCCGTGGCAATGACATGGCTTCGGTGTTTTCAATTGGGTTCGGTGTTTTCAAAGGATGGTGGGTGAATCAATTGCTTGCTCAATTTGATTGTGTTTCTTCATTGCCCTCAGCGGCGAGGCGCGCTACTTCGAAGAGGTGGCTCAATACACCCGCGAGTGTGAAGAGCATGTGAACTTCACGGTGGGGGGGAGCTCAGTCTGCACTCACTTTGGGGACGTTTGGAATGGTGGGAGGGAGCAGCAAGCAACCAGAAACATGTGAAGGTGAACGGGTGTCTTATTGGAGAATGTGGAAGAATTAGATTGGAAATAGCTTGAAGTTTTAAGAAATCGGACCATGTTCACTGACCTTTGGGATGATTGTAGTGGGTTGAGTTGGGCAGAAGACTTTTTGGTCTTTTTGGGGACCACCGGGGCCATTGAGGTGTCAGAGGAGCTGACGAATCGTGTAAGTATGGGTGTATCCCATAGTAACCTCAGATGATTGACGCACACATGAAGAAAGCACGGGTGTTTTCGTTCCTATGCAACGAAATGATTGACCACCACTTCACCTCGCTACCTGCAGTCGTCAACTGAAAAAACAAAACAACAAACACGGCACAAAGCACACGTGGCGAGCGAAGACTCGCTCGGTCTGACGGAAGAAGCTCGCTCCACGCCTCGTACGTACGTCTCTCCACGGCGCGGGCGGCGCGGGCGACGGGCGACGACGTGCGACGGTCTCTCCAGGTGGATGAGCCGTCGAGCTTTCCCTCGCCCTATGCCATCGCCGATCCATCGAAGCCCTTGACCTCCGGAGAAGGAGCTGGAGGAGGTGCGGGTGTGGTGTGGATCGTGCGGTGGTCCAGCGATAGCGGCGACGCTGCGCCGCACCAGGCGACACCCACGTCATCGACGATTTCCTGTTGCGGCTCCCGAAGCGCGTCGCGAACCGGGTGGGTCGACGCGCCATGCGAAGAAACAGCCCGCCCCCGGCGGGGAGGAGGATCTGATCTGCTTTCAATCGAAGCACCGGATTGACCGGAAGAGGATATCTTCCAATTTCATGTGACCCAGGTGCCACTTGGAGAAGGTGGACATGGCCGAACGTGGAGTCCCACCAAGGCCTACTTGATACACATGTCACACGCATGATACGTCAAGCTCACTGGTTTCAGGTGCAATGTGGAGCCTGATTCATTGGAGACTTGACACGATGTCTACAAGAAAACAGGCGAAACACTTGGTTATTTAATTGTTTTGTTTCCAGGGAACGATGCTTTGTTTGTGACTGAACCTTGCTAGCTAAACGACTTGGGGTGTGGCTCGCTTCAGATTGAAGAAACCAGCAGTTAGTCGTCTTTTTCACTGAAGCCAGGGAATTCAGACTTCTTCCACACCAATAAAGCGATCACCGGCGATCACGTCTAGACCACAGTGCCATATAACCACTACCATTATGGCAAACTGCCTATAGAGATCAGTCTATGCAAAGACTGTTATGGTTGTAGACTATGGTTATAGAGATCAACAGAGATACAGTAGACCAGTAGACTAGGGCATAGACTATACGGTTACAGATTGTCACTATGCCCTCTAGAGATCAGTCTATGCGCGGAGGCCCTCCACGGCGCCATCGACGCCCGCCGTCCAAGCGCCGGCGCCGCGGCCCTACGGCGCTCGGAGCGCGGACGCCCAGCGGGAGCTGAGTCTCGATGCTTTTCGGGTGGGAGGGGAGTCGTTTTTGGAACTTGTTTCCTGCAGTTTCAGGTGGGAACCGTGCAAGAGTTTGAATTTGATGATGAGCAAATGATGGCAAATCATGATGACGATGATGATCATGATGATGATGATGATGATGATCATCATCATCATCATCATCATCATCAGCTGCTCACCAGGCTGTTTCCAATGTTGCTGAGTCTTTTTTTCCAACATTTCCAACGTCACCGGCTGCGTGTCGGTCGCTTCCACGTCCGTCGCTCTCGAGGTGCCGATCGCCTGGCCGAGCAAGTGGAAGACTTGAAATCCAAGGCCGCGAAGCGAACGGAACGAGCCCACGGCCAGAAGAAATGGATGGAACCGAAACGGAACCGGAAGAAGTTTCATGTGAACCAGCGAGAATGAAAAAGAGCAGGGAAGGCACGCAATATATGTATAGATTGTATAGTTATAGGCATGGTGTGGAGGAGCCTTCCTTCAGTGGAGGCGATCATTGGAGTGGGAGAGATGCTGAAGTTCAACATAGAAGAGATCTTTTGTTGAGCCAATTAGAGAGATGACACTTTGAGGTCTGAGCTTTCTTCGAGACCTTGTGATGCCGAAAAATTCCTTACGTTTCTGCATGCCATCTTGCCATCCTTTGCGTTCGTTAGACGTTTCATTGGGTTTCTGCGAATCGCACACGCGCGTTTCTGCCTGCCTTCGCCAGTTGGCGGTCATGTACCGTGAGAACCGGAAGATGAAGGACCCACCTGGCCCTTTGAGTGATGGTAACACCCACGTCATGGACCCGCTTCGACGGGCTCGCGTTTCGAGCACTTGGCCGCCAAACGGGAGTGTCCTCGTGGGGCTCGGTGGTTCATTCTCTTTTCACAGGGTCTACACCCTGTTTGAGGGTCCTGCGCCACTCCACTGGAGATCGCCACTTTGGGCGCAGGACATGTTGGAGGCCAAGGATGAGAAGATCAAAAGGTTGCTGGATGATTTCGCCCCATCCTCAATGGCCGCCAACAGGTAGAAGGAACAGGAAGTCGGAAACGATCATAGATTTCCACACAGGCTTGATCATTTTAAAAAATCAAGTGATTCCATACGATTCCGCATTACAGGTGCAGTACTTCCATGTGATTCTGCACTGGCCTTCCATTTTTCAAGGGCCTGTTGGGCCACCAAACACTTGGCTTGTTGACGTCGTCTTTCAACTCATCAAACGACTAAGGACCGCATCCGGAAGGCGGGCGTCTGGGTTCATTTCTCAAGAGTCCCCCAAGTAAAAAGTGACGAGTTTGTTTAAAGGGCCAAAGCCGAATGCTAATGTCTTGGTTGCAAAAAACACATCTGACTCGGAAGGGCAAGCTAACAAGTGCATGCTTTTTCAAAAGTTTTGCAACTAGGTGTTGCGTAGTTGTCGGGTGTTTTCAACTTTGCTTTCCCATGGCACAGAGGCCTTGTTGAGAGCCAAGCGGAACACTTTCGCAGACTCCTTTTGCATCCTTCCAAGCCACTAAGGGCGGACTCATTCATTATCATTCATTATGTCTCATCATCTCACAAAAGGCGAGAAATCACCAAGGAGGATCATCTCATTAAGTCGTCCCATGTCTTTAGAACTTGAACATGACCGGGCTGAATGACCATCCGACTTTGTCAACTAATTGTGGTCGTGTACTTCCTATTTTCTCAAAGCCGCTCTTTGCGGGGAGTGTATCGAATAGCAGTCAGATTTGATCTGGAAATCCTGCTGCAGCCAGCTGGCAGCCAGGACCCCAATGTGATGCATCCAACCATTTCGCGTTTGCGGAAGTCGTGGACCTCAGAGAGGGACCAACGCCTCCGCAAAGTGCATGTTGGGCTTCAGGACCTGATCCAATATTATGGGCTTTCAAGGCTTCTTGAGCAGCTGCAACATGCAAATTCCACACTTGCATTATAACTAGCTAGTATTCTAGTATAGTTAGTTCAGAGAAGATCCGGGAAGTGATCCGGGTCTGTTTCAGTTCCAAAGATGCTCGGCAGAAGGAAAGGCACATTGAAGACCAAAGTTCAGTGTGGTGGCATTGTTCTTCCAAGCACATCTCACATCCTCTCAGCAGTGTGGGCGAAGATAAGACACCAATTAAAAATAGCCCCGTCTTAAGCAGTGAGACAGCGAGTAAAACCGTCGTGCCTTCGCGCCGCTCACAAAACCCGACGTGGGCCGTCTCCTCGGTGGTTTTTCCCCTCGTGCTTTGGTCGCGCCATTGGTCCTCAGGCTGGGGCTCAACACTCCGGCGCTCTCCGAGCTCAATGACCGATGGGCTGGGTGCATTGCCTCAGTGGACAACGACAACAACAACAACAACGACAACGCCAACGACAACGACAACGCCAACGACAACGACAACAACAACAATTGCTGGGAAGATCAAGGGATCCAGAAAAGCACCATTGAAGGGATCCAAATCCTTAGAGGTCGAATACAGAAGATGAAGGGATCCAGGGACCAGTGGCTGGTGTTGTTTCTTTGTGTTTCTCTCCCGTCCGTAAAGGGATCCCGATCGGAAACAAGACGAAGACCTCGGGCCTCGAGGTACGTCTTTGGCCGGGCCTCCATGGCCATGGAGGCCGCTGTCTTGGTGTTGATCCATCGATCGATCCTTGGGGTGGCCAGCGAGGCCCCCCTGCCCCCTGCACTCTTGTGTGTTTTGATGCTCGCTCAAGCCCACTTAGTGAAGGTGAGTTGATGAGTGGGTAGCTGGCGGCTTTTTTCACTTTGAGATGTCGTTTGAGATGTCGTTTTCAGGCGAGTTTTCACCAGCAAGCTAGGTGAGGAGTAGCTGCGCTGCCAAGCAGTGAAATCAAATGACTAGAATGGTCGACCTCTTCCGTATACTGACAAAAAGAGTCATTGGACCTGCGGAGTTTGTTGCACTACCAGACACCACTCACTAAGACTCACTAGCATAGCATGGAATGGGAAAAACCCAGCGAACATACATTACAGTACTACTTATACACCCTATTTTTCTGTTCCATTATCATAATGCAACTGAGTAAGACCCTCTTTGTTTCCGGCCGGGGAACCCCCTTTTTTCGCACCTCCGTTGCGGCCGATGGCGGTCGTCCGATTG